GCTTCAGAGACAAGTGATGGTGGGAAAGAAGAGGTTGCTTTATTTAGGAAGCTGGCAACCTGGGAAGATGGTGGACTAATGTCTCAAAGCCCATCTTTCCTGTCCAGGCGAAGCTATGGGGTTTCAAAGGGGAAGGCGCGGAAATGGTTGGGGTGACATGTAGGAGAAGCAGGTGCACAAGCCGTTAGTTATGTGTCGACATGAGACCTGACCCTGAACAGACTTGCTGGCATCGGTGGCAGCTGTTTTCAAATGTGGTCAGGCCTTATCTTCTGGGAAAGTCTGGTCCTTCACTTCTCAAGGCCATTGGTCTGCAAATCTCTGGGAAAGTAGGTTAGTCCTGCTACAGCCCAAGGGACTTAGGTCAGCAAACGAGGAGTGCAGAACCTTGGAGCATGTTAACCCTTCTGACAGGTTAGAGTATTGTTGCAGTTTGTTATGCAACAACAGAGAACAGTGGCACTATTAATATGTTTTTATGGTCCTTTTGTTTATGTGCTGTCGTCACTTTTAAATGACACATGTGATTCCTCATGCCTGTCTTATTTTCTGTACAGAATATATTTTAATTATCTACTGAACAGTTAAGCAGTGAGATGATAGGCAAATTTATTTAGAGTAATTACTCCCAGTTATCAGCCCCTTGCCTCCTGCAGGCATTTAAAGAGAAAATGAAATTGCATTTTAAATTAGGGGTGACAAAATTAGTTTTGTCAGTTTTGTATTTTCCACGTTGGTTCTTGTTCATAGAAATTGATGACTGCTGATGTGTTTTGTATTTTCTTTAAGAGCTGTGGTTCACAAAGTTTCTTCCAGAGTTTAGCATAAATAATTTATGGGTTGGTTTGGCTTATAATATGAATATAATGTGTTATAATGTGAGTTGAAAAGTTAAGAGTTTTAATTGTATATAAGTATAATATGAGTATAATGTGTTATAACGTGAGTTAAAAAGTGAAGAATTTTAATTGTCTCTTCAATGAAGCCATACAATATAAAATACTATCAACAACTCATTTGCTTCAAAATAAAGGAAAGGATTGTCTGGTATAGCTTGTAATAAACTGGCTAAGATGAACAATTTTTATTATTTAAAAGTTATATTACAAAGCAGTGATCACCAAGACAGAATGGTACTGGCACAAAAACAGACATATAGACCAATGGAACAGAATAGAGAGCCCAGATATGGACCCTCAACTCTATGGACAAATAATCTTCAACAAAGCAGGAAAAAATATGCAATGGAAGAAAGACAGTCTTGTTAATAAATAGTGCTGGGAAAATTGGACAGCTATATACGGAAGAATGAAACTCGACCATTCTCTAACACCATACACAATGATAAACTCAAAATGCATGAAAGACCTCAGTGTGAGACCAGAATCCATCCAAATCCTAGAGGAGAACATAGGCAGTAACCTCTTTGACATTGGCCACAGCAACTTCTTTCAAGGTACATCTCCAAAGACTAGGGAAACAAAAGCAAAAATGAACTTTTGGGACTTCATCAAGATAAAGAGCTTCTGCACAGCAAAGGAAACAGTCAATAAAACAAAGAGGCAACCCACAGAATGGGAGAAGATTTTTGCAAATGACACTACAGATAAAGGACTGGTATCCAAGATCTATAAAGAACTTCTCAAACTCAACACCCAAAACATAACTGATCAAGTCAAAAAATGGGCAGAAGACATGAACAGACACTTCTCCAAAGAAGACATACAAGTGGCGAACAGACACTTCTCCAAAGAAGACATACAAGTGGCTAACAGACACATGAAAAAACATTCATCTTCATTAGCCATCAGGGAAATTCAAATCAAAACCACATTGAGATACCACCTTACACCAGTTAGAATGGCAAAAATTGACCAGGCAAGAAACAACAAATGTTGGAGAGGTTGTGGAGAAAGGGGATCCCTCTTAGGCTGTTGGTGGGAATGCAAGTTGGTATGGCCACTTTGGAAAACAGTGTGGAGTTTCCTCAAAAAATTAAAAATAGAGCTACCCTTTGACCCAGCAATTGCACTACTTGGGTTTTTACCCCACAGACACAGATGTAGTGAAAAGAAGGGCCATATGCACCCCGATGTTCATAGTAGCAATGTCCGCAATAGCCAAACTGTGGAAAGAGCCGAGATGCCCTTCAACAGATGAATGGATAAAGAAGATGTGGTCCATATATACAATGGAATATTACTCAGCCATCAGAAAGGATGAATACCCAACTTTTACATCAATATGGATGGGACTGGAGGAGATTATGCTAAGTGAAATAAGTCAATTATCATATGGTTTCACTTATTTGTGGAACATAAGGAATAACATGGAGGACATTAGAAGGAATGGAAAAAATGAAGGGGGGGAATCAGAGGGAGAGATGAACTATGAGAGACTATGGACTCCGAGAAACAGACTGAGGGTTTTGGAGGGGACGGGGGTGGGGGGATGGGTTGGCCCAGTGGTGGGTGTTGAGGGCACGTACCGCATGGAGCACTGGGTGTTATATGAAAACAATGAACCATGGATCACCACATCAAACACTAATGATGTATGGTGACTAACATAACATAATAAAATAAAATTTAAAAAATAAAATAAAAGTTTTAAAAGCCAACAATGAGTTACCTGCAGTGGTAAGTAAGGGTATTTGAATTATTATATCTTTGTCATATCCTCAGTCAAGCCTGTCTTGTGCGTGAAAAAAGCCAGCTATGAAGAGGCCAGCCATGCTTCTGAGATGGATTCCTTGAATTAATGCCAGTGTGTCCGAGCAACTGAAACTGAAGAAGGGAGAGTGGTGGCAGTTCTTTATCATAATTTTGCATGTCCTCTAAACTGAATTGCTCCAACTCATCTGATTGTTATCTGATACTTGCAAGTAGTACTCTTGAGGATTTTGTGATTATGATACTTAGTGTGGAAAGAGTGCAGCCCTGGGAGTCTTGTGAGCTGGGTGTTCTGTCCTGGAGGTGCCACTGACCAGCTGCATGACCTTGGTGTGACTCTTTGGGCCTAGTTACCTCATCAGTAAAATGAGGGCATTCAGGTGATCTCCATCTCCAAAAATCTAATTTTGTGGCTTCAGAGTGGGGAGAGTGCTTTGCTCCTGTGTGTTCTCTTAGAGGAAAGTGTGATTTTAAAAGTTGCCCTTCCACAGATGAATGGATAGAGAAGATGTGGTCCATACATACAATGGAATATTACTCAGCCATCAGAAAGGATGAATACCCAACTTGTACATCAACATGGAGGGGACTGGAGGAGATTATGCTAAGTGAAATAAGTCAAGCAGAGAAAGTCAGTTATCATGTGGTTTCACTTATTTGTGGAACATAAGGAATAGCACGGAGGACATTAGGAGAAGGAACGGAAAAATGAAGGGGGGGAAATCAGAGGGAGAGATGAACCATGAGAGACGATGGACTCTGAGAAACAAACTGAGGGTTTTAACGGGTTAGCCAGGTGATGGGTATTAAGGAGGGCACATACTGCATGGAGCATTGGGTGTTGTTACAAAAACAATGAATCAAGGGGGGCGCCTGGGTGGCTCAGTCGTTAAGCGTCCACCTTCAGCTCAGGTCATGGTCCCAGGGTCCTGGGATCGAGCCCCGTATCAGGCTCTCTGCTCCGCAGGAAGCCTGCTTCTCCCTCTCCACTCCCCCTGCTTGTGTTTCCTTTCTTGCTGTGTCTCTCTCTGTCAAATAAATAAATAAAATCTTTAAAAAACAAAACAAAAAAAAACAATGAATCATGGATCACTACATCAAAAACTAATGATGTATAGTGACTAACATAAGATAAAAAAATAAAATTTAAAATAAATAAATAAAAGCATGGTGCTTGCTATCCGTATATGCTGCCAGGCAAGAAGACATTTGGTTCTTTGTGCATCCCTTGTGCTATGCTTGAGTGTTAAAAGAAGAATTTACTTCCAAATCAGTGATGATGAACTGACTGCTTAGCATACATTTGTTAAAGTCCAGGAGACCAAAAATCAACTTCATAATATATTAAATGCATTTTTTTAAAGATTTGTCCTCTTTTATGAAATATGTTTTTATGAAATATGTTCTAAGAAATATAAATTTTAAAGACTGGTGTTTTCTAATGTGGAGGCCAAGAGCAGGGTGCCCCAAAATGTGCCACTTTGACGTATTAATTATTTAAAATAAAAGTTACTTGAACAGCCAGTGCAAAGACACTCACTCTCTTCTGTCCCCCTGGACGTGGGAAATAAATCTCCCATAGTACTAAGAAGTAAAAAAGATGTCCTTATCACCAGAGAGAGAAACTTTAAAGTCAACCAAGCTTTAGAAACAAACCTGTTACTTTCTTTCTAACCTACTACCTCAGTCCAAATTCTGTTTAGAATTATTTACTAATTAAAGCTTCTAAACATTTTTTTTTTTTAATATTTTAAGGGATCTCTACACCCAGTGTGGGGCTTGAACTCACAATTCTGAGATCAAGAGTCACATGCTTTACTAACTTGACCAGCCAGGCTCCCCACATCTGTTTTCTTTATCCTGTCAATCCCTCACAAATTTATTGTCTCTTTGTCTAGGAAGTATAAAAACAGCCAGTTCGGTCATTTATTTGTGTCTCAGTTTCCATTATTGGGCCTCCATGTACATGTAGTAAAACTTTGGCTTTTTCTCCTGTTAATCTGTCTCATGTAAATTTAATTCTTAGTCCAGTTGGAACTGCTTGAAGGGTAGAGTAAGAATTTTTCCTTTCGTGCATTAATTAGGACATATTAAACATGACAATTTTAACTTTTTTCCCCCTTAGGCTTTTATTATTATTTTTTGATTGGGTACCTAATTTTTATTTCCCTGGGAAAAATAGAAAGATTACTTTGTATAAGTTTTTTCAAGAGAACTTTAATATACTTTTTATAATTTGTTTTGATGTTTGAGGAAACTACTGCTTGGGAATTATAAGTAAAAACTGAACTATTTTTATTTTCAATCTAATTCTTTATATCTGTACAGAACATTGGCTCTGATTAAACCAGATGCAATATCAAAAGCTGGAGAAATAATTGAAATGATAAACAAAGCCGGATTTACTATAACCAAACTCAAAATGATGATGCTTTCAAGGTAATTTGTTGATCATTTTCAGTTATATAAAGTCTAGTACTTGTTTTTTTTTTAATCATCTTTTATCTTTCATGTCATTGTTTAAAATAAAAACCTCTCACTGAGTGGCAAAGGATAGAATAGTAGTCTTATTAGAATGAGAAAATAGTAAGACACCAGGTAATTAGATTCATCAATAATGATTGAACTCTAAGCAAGTGGGAATTGTCACATTGTACCTGCCCCATTATTTATTGTCTTCCTTAACCCCATTGGCTTTTATAACACCAATGCCTGATAATTGTAATCTCTTCTTCTTAAACACTATATTAAAATTGTAGAAAAGGAAACGAATGTTTGAGTATTTCTATTTGACAAGGGAGTGTTACTGTTGGGATTTCCAAAAGTGATGCATTTGGAAATGGTTACATTTATCTCCTCCAGTGTATATAATTGGTAAATATGCCTATTTACTACCCTGAAAAGCAGTCCATTGTGTCTGACCAGATAGTTTCTAAGTTATTTAGTGAATGCGGGACTTACCTATAGGTGGGGTTATTAATACAGCATTAAAGCTGCTCCTGGTGGTGTTCTTACGTTACTCCACAGGGGTTTTTTTGTTTATTTTTGGTTAGGTGTCTTTTCACTGCTGTTCCTGAGTATGTATATATTTTATGGGACAGTTGCATTTTTGGCTCTGTGAGAACAAGGATAATGGATAGCAGTAGATATTCAACACAGCTTTGATAAGTCTGATCCCTAGAAGCCTTAACAAAACACCTTCAATTTTACCCCAACAAAGACATATATTTAATGTGAATTTTTCCCATGTAAGGTCTTCTTTTTTTTTTTTTCCTAGAAAGGCAGGAGGCTTATGTTTCAGAGCACAGAATCTAGTGCCAGATTGCATATAAGTGCAACACTTACTAGGTGTGTGACTCTGAATAATTTACTCTCTACTTCATTTTCTTCATCAGCAAAATGGAGATTATAACCATCTGTATCATAAAGTTGCTATGAGGGTTCCGTGAGTTTAATGTATGCCATTAGTTTGAAAAACCCCAGGACATAGTAAGTATATATAAATGGTAGCTATTGTTGTTAGGAGCATTAATAATAGTGATATTATTGTTTAGTGAAACTCAGGTCATGACCCTTTGTAAGTAGTTAAATTTATCTTATTTCTGTATGTATCAAGAATGCTTGCTCTCACAGCAGGTAATGGGACTGAATTCTGGAGAAATGACTTTGAGTAGTTTTAGTGAGATTAAAAGTTGTTTACGTCCTCTGCAGTATATGTCCTCTCCACTGCTAGTGCTTGATAAATTTGGCATCAAACTCCCCAAGATAAAGATGCCCAAGCAAACTGCTTCCTTAAATTTTTTTACAGCACCTCATAGATCTCTGTTAGTTTTACTCTCAAGTCTTGGATTTTGCCCAACTTAAAAGCTAGTAAGTTAGTCTTTTACTCTTTCATGGATGCTAGGCAGAAGATATGGAACATCTGGATTAGAGACAAAAGACTTTATTATGGTACAGCAAGCAGCATGAGCATCATGCTTATACTGGTGCTCTTTGCCTCCATGTCTCGTGGGCATAATATGATATGGATCCAAGTGTATGTTGTATACACAGTTGATTGCATCATAGCTGAGGAGCACTGAACTTGCGTTATCCACTGTTTCATTAGCAAGTGGTACACAAGGCTGCTCTCTGTGCTGAAGAGAGACATGACCTCATCTCTCAGAGTTGCTCCCTGTAAACATAACTGAGAAAAGGCTAGGATGAAGGGCAGTTGGGTCCTTGCATTCTTGGCGTACCCAGTGAGACAGGCTAGGAGTACCAGAGACCTGTGGAGGAGTGTCTCCTAGTGCTTAAATCATTGCTAAACTTGTTTGCTCAAATGTAAGTTCCTCCATCATGACAGTATCTGAAAGACAGCAGCTGTGTTCCATCTGACTTTGTACTTCCTAGTTCTTAGATTAGTGCCTGATTCAAGGTGGGCACTAGCAAATATCTCAGGAAAGCATTAGTGATAAATCTTTGTGGGAGAATGATTTCCTTATAAAAACCCAGCAATACATAACAAAACAATAACAGAACCTCCTTTAAGTGGGGATTCACTTGTTAATATTTCTCTCCATCTCAACTTTTTACGGGAGGAATTAGGTAAGGATGATGGGAAAAATTCATAAACTCTCATCTTGGTTTCAATTTTGGATGTTGAATAGAAATAACAATGGGGTCAGTGACATGTAAGAAGGAAACAATGAAACACTTTTAGTAATTAAGATTTTTCTTTTCATCAATAGTAAAGATTATGGTTTTTTCTTTTTTAGGAGCTCAGTTGTGTTGAAATGTTTAGAATTGGTTGTTTTAGTCGTCTTGCTGCTAACTCTTTTAGAATGCTCCCACATGAGTTTTTCCACACATCCAGTTTTACCTCACTTTAGGCTATAATATATCCATTTCATTTTTGTGAATTCGTCTCCTGACCCTCTGCAGTTGGTAACAGAAAGGACATAAACAGAGATTTGCAGCCAGAGATATGGTTTCAAACCCCCCTGTTCAAGTTATGTAATCATGCTGAACTTCATTATTTTCATATGTAAAATATAGGTATTCATACCTATTTTAATATATTATTGTGAAAAATAAAGTAATTTAATGCTGGCATAATAAGTTCTAGAAAGATGAGTTTTCTTCCCCCTCTCATTTCTTGGGATGAATTTTATTTATCATATTTCATAGTATACTTTCGTAATCTCTTTATAACCAAAGAAAATATCTCAGTATATTTGGTTTGAATAAGAGTATGCCCTGATATATATATATGCCTTATTATGTGAATTCATTTTGTAGTAGGCCCATAAGATCTTAAAACATTGCATACTAAATTATAATGCCCAAAAAGATAATGCTTTGCTAGAGGACACTTTAATTTCTTTGATGTTTTGAAAAGTAGTTGATCTTTTTTTTTGAGAGTTCGTTCTGATTTTTATTACACACCATAGACATGTTCACTAACCAGAGTAGGATGATTCTGTTGATGTTGATAATCTTGTCACATACTGTGAACTCAGTTAAAGCCTTTAAAACTGTCCAGGTTTGAGAGATACCTGACTTGATTAAAATAAAGAATTGTTTAGACTTTTTAGTTAATCAATTTGAAGTCCATTATCTTTTCAGTGGCTCTGTAGATACTCTTTAGTGGGAATATAAATTCATAACGTAAATCCTTATTGCCCTTAATAAATTCTGAATATCTCCATATTGCCCCCTTTTTTGGGTGATGTCAGTTAAAGCATTAGTTTTGAATATATTAATAACCAATAAGAATACATTGATATGCTTAACTTGTCAAGCAGATTTTAAAACATAAGATCTAAGAGAGAAAACTATAACTATTAAATTAAAATTCTAGCCTACCCATTCAAGTTTAAAACCTGAAGAAGAAAGTGACAAATTCTGAATTTGAAGGTGGCTTTGCATTTTTTTATGTAACTTATTTGAACTCTAAAGAACAAATAATTCTTAGGAATGAGATCTTGCCATTTGCAATGACGTGGATAGAACTGGAGGGTGTTATGCTGAGTGAAATAACTCAATCAGTGAGGTCATGTATCATATGACCTCACTGATATGAGGAATTCTTAATCTCAGGAAACAAACGGAGGGTTGCTGGAGTGGGGGGGGGGGGGGGGGGATGGGGTGGCTGGGTGATAGACATTGGGGAGGGTATGTGCTATGGTGAGCGCTGTGAATTGTGCAAGACTGTTTAATCACAGATCTGTACCTCTGAAACAAATAATGCAATATATGTTAAGAAAAAAATATAAAGAAGAAGAAGATAGCAGGAGGGGAAGAATGAAGGGGAGTAAATCGGAGGGGGAGACGAACCATGAGAGACGATGGACTCTGAAAAACAAACTGAGGGTTCTAGAGGGGAGGGGGGTGGGGGGATGGGTTAGCCTGGTGATGGGTATTAAAGAGGGCACGTTCTGCGTGGAGCACTGGGTGTTACGCACAAACAATGAATCATGGAACACTACATCCAAAACTAATGATGTAATGTATGGTGATTAACATAACAATAAAAAATTTAAAGAAAAAAAGAACAAATAATTCTTATTGGTCAAATGTTAAACTTTGTTTCAAGAATGTTAAAGATGGTGGTGCAAAGTAAGATAGTAGATATGAACATGAGCAGAAAAGTAAATATTGCTCTTAAATTCATTGTAATTTTATATCTTAATAGATATCAGGTAGCAAAAAATTTGAAAAGTGGGAGGAGTTGAGCAGAATATTTGGTGAAAAGTCATTAATCAGTTTACATACAGATCAAAAGAGGATTTCATCTTTATTTTATTAATGAAAGCTAAAATATTTTAGTAAAATAATTTTTTAAATATAATTCTTAACTGTTGTCATTTTGCTTATTTGACAGGAAAGATGCAATGGATTTTCATATAGACCATCAGTCAAGGCCCTTTTTAAAGTAGGTGCTGAATTTGGGGCAAGTGGTTTACAATGGAGGATATCCCCAAAACTAAAGAATTGTAGTTTTACAATTCAGAAATTTGTGACATGGAAAGCATCTGTCAAAAGGATCATAGCAACATCTTGCAACTGTAGAGAACTATTTTATAAGAATTGTTTTTTTCTGTCCTTTTATTAGATTAGATTTTTATCATTAAAAATCTTAAACTTTAATCAGGAGCAAATAGGATGATTTGCTTAAATTAGAAAAGGTATAGCTTTCTTTTTAGATTTCAGTAGATTAAAAGAGTGATAATTATATTTTATGGTGAGTATTTTTTAAAAGGTTTTTAAGATTTTTAAAGGTTTTTAAGATTTTTACTTGAGTAATCTCTACACCCAACATGGGACTCAAACTCTTAGCTCTTCTGACTGAGCCAGCCAGGCACCCCTGGGTTGAGTGTTTTTGTTGTGCTCTTGGCATTCTTGTATACATAAAACAATGTTCACAGAACCCTTATTAACTAATACTTTTGTTCCTTGAAATAGTATTGTTAGTATATCTATAACATACTAGTGGCAAAGGGAAATGAGCTGCTGCTTTTCATGGCTTGGGCTACTGTGACTCAGTGCTGGATTTTTAATTAAGAACCTGTGTGTATGCTTTAATAACTTGAGATAAGAATATTCCAGAGTAGCTTTTATAGTAATTAGAGGATATTTTTTCAAGGCCTGTTAATTTCTGTTTTTTCTTTATCACTAGATCAACTCATTGTTTATTGACTGAAAGTTTACTGTCATCCTTTGAATTCTAATCTACACAAAAATAAATTCTAACTGTAAACATAAGACCACTCTCATCATTTTCTATATTATGAAATTTTATTTGAATGCAGTGGTAAACCACATTAAAATAAAAAGGAAGATCCTTCTGTACCTTTCAGAGCAATGGGAGAAGCAATAATCAATTGGTCAATAATATGCATTTTAAATCAATGAAGTAGTCTTAAATTCAATGAAACACTAATTTTTTTTTTTTTTTTTTTGCCAACAGTAAATGATTTGACAACACTAGTGTTTTGTAGTGACTCAGGCTACCACAAGACACTCAATTTATGAAAATTTTATTTTGCCCATGCAGAATTCACTATATCCAATAGTTCTGAGATCATAATACTCATATGTGTGTTGAAATACTCCAATTGTAATATATTCTTATTAACAGAGATACGTAGGTTGACAGAAAAATGAAGCAAATCAAGCTTTTACTTGTTCTGTAGTGAACTGATCCAGTTTATTACAAGTGGTCCTACTATCGCCATGGAAATTTTAAGAGATGATGCCATATGTGAGTGGAAAAGATTGCTTGGACCTGCAAACTCCGGGATGGCTCGTTCGGATGCTCCTGGAAGCCTGAGAGCCCTCTTTGGAACCGATGGCATAAGAAATGCAGCTCATGGCCCCGATTCTTTTGCTTCTGCTGCCAGAGTAAGGTGTTTTAAGAATATTTTAATTCTGTTTTTGTTTTGTTAAATGTTTTGTGTCAGAGTAAAGCATTTCTGTCACTGCTGACTTGGGACAGTTTCTACAGCTGATCTAAGAGTAGAGAAAACCTTGACCCTTTGCCTAGGATTAAACAGTGGTTCGGTAATATGTCTCTTTTGTGAACTGGTAACCCTGTCATGGCCAAGATAAGTTTTCTCCAGTTAAAATACTCATCATCCCGGTTTACGTTCCAAAGCCACTTAAATTATTCAGTCTCATCAATGTTTGAATTACTGACTTCATGTGAGACCAGTTGATGGATAGTAAATATTCATAAAGAAGCATCATTTCATATATTTTGTTTTTGGCTCAGATCTAATGCCATCTTCAAGTTTAACATCCTTTTCTTTTTCCCATTTGGAGCTAGTGTTTAAGAAAAAGTTTTTATGCCTCCTACCATTACTTCTTGTTTTAAATCCATATAAATAAGGTATTATACTGAGTTATGGTGATGTTGATTTGATGAAGTTGCAAGTTTATTCTTAGCATCAAAACACGTTTCTCAGCTAACATAAGGTGGCTTTTAGTCTGGTCATGCTTTCATTAAAATAATATTAGGCAGTTTTTTAATAATTGAATTTTTCTTTTTCTGACAGCTCCATCAATAGATCCTTTCAGTTCTCCCTTCAAATTAGACCTCGAATCTGATTGTTGTGGGCTAGGTCACTGTTCTATTTTGTTTGGACTACTGCAAAAGCCTCCTAATTCTCCTTTCCTCTTCCTTCTCCTCTTACACTCAATTTATAAAAATTTTACCTTGCTCATGTAACATTAACTAGGCCAAGAGTGATCTTTTAAAAACAAATCAGATTAACAATTCAATTATTAAAGACTCTTCAGTGACTTTTTATCCCTTTTTAAAAGAATCACAAGTCTTTATTGTAGCCTCCAGAGCTCTAACCTGATCTGATTCCCTTCTGTCTCTTCGACTTTATCTCCAACCAGTCTCTCCCTTATTCACTGTGTCCCAGGTATACTGACCATCTTGCTATTCTTTGAATAGTGTATTTCTGCTTGGCTCATTCAATTAACAGGAAAGAAGACAGTGTAGTTGGATGGGAGTGAGGGAAGGAGGGGCTGATGAGGTCACAGAAATAATCAGGAGAGATATCACATGGTCTTGTAGCCTGGGAGCCCTTGAAGGGTTTTAAGTGGAGGACTGACATGTTTGACTTGGCATTTAAAAGGGCCACACTGGTTTCTGCTTTGAGAATAGACTATAGAGGACAAGAGTAGCAACAGGGAGCCCAGTTAAGAGGCTGTTACAATAATCCAGGGAGATGTTGGCTTAGACCAGGGTGGTAGCAGTAAGAGTATATAGATACATTTTAAAATACGTTTAAATGGTTGAAGGTCAGATGAACAAGAGTTCCTTCCAGATTCAATGTAGAATATGAGGAAAAGAGATAGCAAGGATTACTCCAAAGTTCTTGGCCTGAAGGACTGAAAGGCTCCAATTTACCTAACCTGAAATAAGGAAAGCTATGGCTAGGGTCAGTATGGATGGAAACTCAGGAGTTACATTTTGGACATTGCAAACTTAACATGGATGTTAGTTATCAAAGTAGAGAGACATTAAGCAAAAAATTAAGTTATGTGAGTCTGGAGTTGGGGAGGGAGGTTTGGACTAATGACATAAATATGAGGTCACTGACACCTAGATGGCATTAAAGCCACGAGAGACTGGTTGAGATTAGCTTGGAGAACGTACAGATAGAGAAGAAAAGAGAACAAAGATGGAGCCTTTCTGTCCTAGTAGAACGTTGGGGAGGAGGATGCAGCAAAGGAGGTAGAGCAGGAGCCATCATTGAAGTGGAAGGAAAAAACTCAGACATAATTATGTTCTGGAGACCAAGTGGGGAAAGTATTCTAAAGGGAGAGAATGATCAGTGGGGTCAAATGAGGCAGATCTATCAAGAAAGAGGGGGACTGAGAATTGACTATTGGATTTTGCAGTGCAGAGTCATTGGTGAAGTTGGTAAGAGATGGAGGAGTGGAGGCAAAGTCCTACTGGAATGGATTTAAAAGAAAATTTGAGACTGAATATAGAAACCTTTTTGAGGAGTTTTGATGCAAGTTGAAGAAAGAAATGAGGTAGTAGATGTGAGGAAAAGCAGGGTCTTTTTTTTTTTTTTTAAGATGAGAAGAATTACAGATGTGACAAATTGAGGATATAGGAAAAGAGGAAGACTTCCTGGCACAATGTAATTGATTAGGGTGAGCAGGAGTGGAAATTAGAGCCCAGGTTGACTGCACACTGGTGCAGGGGTAGTCATCTGGTGCAACAAATGGAAAGGCAGAGTATGTGGGTACAGATGCTTATTCTGATTGCCTCACTTTTCTTAATAAGAAGACAGTAGGAAGCAAGGTCAAAAACAGCTAAAAGTGAGGATGGGGGAGAAGGTGTTTATTGTTTGAAGAGAGAAATATGATTTGCAAATATTTTCTCACAGTGTGTTATTTGCATTTTTATTCTAACAGTGTCCTTGGGTGAGTAGAAGTTTTTAGTTTTGAAGTCCAGTTTCTCAATTCATTCTTTCATTGCGGTGTCTCATCTAAGAAACTATATGTAACTAATGAATCATTGAACACTACATCAAAAATTAATGATGTACTATACAGTGGCTAACTGAACATAATTAAAAAAAATTGTCACCTCATCCAAGGTCACAAAATTTTCCCGTTTGTTTTCTTCCAGAAATTTTAGTTTTTGTTTTTATATTTAGCTCCATGATCCATTTTTTTTAAAGATTTATTTATTTGAGAGAGCAAGAATGAGAGAGAGAGAGTACATGAGAGGGGAGAGGGCCAGAGGGAGAAGCAGGCTCCTCGCTGAGCAGGGAGCCCGATGTGGACTCGATCCTGGGACTCCAGGATCATGACCTGAGCCGAAGGCAGTCACTTAACCAACTGAGCCACCCAGGTACCCCATGATCCATTTTGAGTTAATTTTTATATATGGTATAGCATATGACCCAAATTTATTGTTTTGCATATAGACATCTGATTGTTCCAGCACCATTAGTTAAAATCACATTTTTTTCTCCACTTAATTGCCTTTGCACATTTGTCATATTCGTTGACTATATATCTGTGAATATTTCTGGATTCTTTCTGCTTTATTGATCTATTTGTCTTTCTTTATGCTGATTTCACACCTATTAAGAAAAGAAACATCGCCATTAGAAATGGGCAAAAATTTGAACAGGCACTAATCAAAGATGATACATGAATGGTATATAAGCACACATTATGGAAGTACTAATTAAAACCTCAATGAGATACCACTACACACCTTTTAGAATGGCTAAGGTTTAAACGACTGACCATTTCAAGTGGCAAGTGTGAGGAGAAACTAGAACTGTCATACGCTGCTGATGAGAATTTAAAAGGGTACAATCACTTTGGAGAACAGTTTGGCAGTTAACTAAAATGTTAAACATATATCTACCCTATGATCCAACTATTCCTGTCCTAAGTATTTTCCCAGGAGAAATGAAAGCAAATATTAATATGAAGACTTGTACATGAGGGTTTTGTTCATAACAGCCTTATTTGTGATATCCAAAAACTAGAGATAACCCAAATGTCCCAAGAGATGAGTGGCTAAACAAATCATGATATTACCACATGGAATAATATTTGGCAATAAAAAGGAATGAAATATTGATATACACTACAGTGGATGAATCTCAAAATAATCTTGCTAAGTGAAAGCTAGACAAAAGAGTACATACTATATAACTATATTTGAGTAAAATTGTTAAAAATTAAACTAATTCATAACGGTGGAAAACAGATCATTGGTTATAGGGCCAACTTATTAATGGTAAGGGAGGTAATGGTAATGGTTAATGGGGGGAGGCAGGGAGAGGAAGAAGAAAGGGATTATCCAAAGGAAGGAGGGGTGACTGATATGTTTATTATCTTGATTGTGGTGATATTTTCATGGGAATAAACAAATGTCAAAACTTATCAAATTGTATCCTTTAAATATATTCAGTTTAAAGTATGTTACCTGGACCTCAACAAAACTTAAAAACCAGTAACAACAACTCTGTTCAACTATTATCAATTTCTTCGTTCTGTGTGAGGTATGCTTCCTTGATGCTTGCTTCATGCCTACTGCATACCTCTGTTACTTACCATATTTTAAAAGCATTTGTGTTTATGTTTACCCTCCTAGTAGACTATGAATTCTTTGAGGATTTCCAATTTATTGTCATACCTCCAGGATGTAGGTCACTGGTGTTCACAGAAGTTTTGAAATTCAAAACAACAACAAGCCTTATGTTTTTTTTTTAAATTTTTTATTGTTATGTTAATCACCATACATTACATCATTAGTTTTTGATGTAGGGTTCCATAATTCATTGTTTGTGCATAACACCCAGTGCTCCACGCAGAATGTGCCCTCTTTAATACCCATCACCAGGCTAACCCATCTCCGCCCTTCCTCCCCTCTAGAACCCTCAGTTTGTTTTTCAGAGTCCATTGTCTCTCATGGTTTGTCTCCCCCTCCGACTTACTCCCCTTCATTCTTCCCCTCCTGCTATCTTCTTTTTCTTTTTTCTTAACATATGTTGCATTATTTGTTTCAGAAGTACAGATCTGCGACTCAACAGTCTTGCACAATTCACAGCGCTCACCATAGCACATACCCTCCCCAATGTCTATCACCCAGCCACCCCATACCTCCCACCCCCCACCACTCCAGCAACACTCAGTAACAAACCTTATGTTTATTGGGTGCTCACTATGTGACTGGCACTGTTCCAGACACTTTAGTATCTCATTTAATTCTCACAATCTCCTATGCATTTGCTTATATCATCCCAATTTACCAGGAACTGAGACTCCGTGAATTTAAGCACCTTGGCCTCATGAGGACTTAAGCCCAGGCACCTCTGGCTCCACAGCCCCGTGCTTAACCACCAGCCTCC